TTTCCAGAGAAACACTAAGCAACTTGGAAGATACCTATCTCCGACATCATCTATGACCATCAGCCATTGTTAAGGCTGTTGATTGGGGCACACACACAAAATTAGAATTGCTAGCAATGAGGAAAGGTAAAGCACCTTAACAAATGATACTTTGGTAGAAACCTCAATAAAGTCCAAAGATGTAAAATGGCTACAGAATAAACTTCTTGCTCCCTTTAGAAAGTCTTCCAAGAAAACACAAGTAAGGTTTACATATCACTGTTGACGATGCATCTATTTATGTATCAAGTGGCATTGAGTAAAGACCTCTCATAAGCGCTAACACTATCTGGAAATGTTACGGTTTCAAAGGATAATAAGCAGCATGTAACAGCAGTACTAATAAAGCAAGTTACACTTGCTTATACTTAAAGACTTTTTTCAGTATCCTATTCTGCAGCTACTGTTTGCTGCTTTCGGTATACATCATGATAGGGAAGTAATACATGAAGCACAGAATGAGGGCAGTCTGGTTTTGTGATCTCCAGTGCCTTGGAGTGAAATCTTGAACAGGGCACGTTAAACAAAACAATCAGTATGCTTACTGTCTGATACATGCCAACTCATGGATAAATCTCGGTAGAAGCAGAAGCAAATTAAATACCATTTGGTAGTTCTGCATGTCAATACCACTTGGACATCATTTTCCAGGGACAAAACTGTGGAAAACGGCATCATGTACTAGCAACTATTAAGCGCTGAATCAAGATATATTACAAAGATACGACTGATCAATGAGATTTAAAAAATCTGTTAGAATTACAGTATACATTTAAGTTGAAAAGGCACTCAATATGTGATAATGTGATCTCTGTTAAAATGCTTCCAAGGAATTTCAAAATATATAAAAAATAAATGTGCATCCTGAAGATTTACAGAGATTAACTATTTGATACTGTGGGATATTTGAGTTGATCCAGATTTGTAGCATACTAGTGATCCTTGCTAAATTTACAGGATACTATTATGTATTAAATTCATTCACTTTTACAACATGAACAATGAATTGTAACAATAAAAAAATCAAATAGAAATATGGTTTCATTTTCCATTAGTGTTCTGTAGTTATTAGGAGATTATCTGTTGCTTCAGCAAGGGGTTCTAGAACTACTGATACTACAAGGTGTTGATTTGTGAGCCAGGAGTCAATACATTTAGTGATCAACACAAAGGAGGTGTAATTGAGACCTGTGGAATTTCAACAACTAACTAATCCAGTTAGTTCCTCACTGAGTACTAAAGAAGGAACATGACCTTCATGACCAGAAAAAATTATGATGTAAGTGAATCAGAAGGGGAATGGAGAAACTGTCCTCCATAAATACTTAGAGGATCACAAGAATTTTCTAAAAAATGATAGTGGTAGAAGGGGAATTTCCAAGATATAGGGGGGGCTGAAATAAGATGCCACAACATGACTTACAGTAAGTTTTAGATGTAACTCACTGTATTTCAGAATGACAGCACGGGAACCTCTAAATCATAACTTTACTGCAATATAACATCATTGTACTTTCATCTCCACATTATGTCAACAGCAGTCAACCATTCTTGATGCACATGAGACAGCAAGTCAATATTGTTTTCAAACGTCAGAAAATCATGAATTATATATAATCAAATGCATCCAATTATCTCATTATTTGGATCAATAAATATCACAAATTGTACATAAACTGGGCAACCTATGCTTCACTGACATAACAGGAAAGCGCCAGTACATTTATCACCAGTACTATAAATGTTGCTCGGAAACCACTTAGCATTTCCCTTTTATTGTCTTCCAAACAAGTTCTATTTGCAGAATATGCCACAATAAGTTAGTAAATGAATTGATAAATCTCAGAAGGTGGCATTTGGTAGTAATTTTTCAATAATTTTACCCAAAAGAACCTTGGACAAACCAGAGCAATTTATTAATCAGAAAATGCGTTAAAATTGTAATGTTTCAAAAATCAGTATTTCAAAATCTGCAAGCACCATGTGCTATAGCATTTGATGTACAAAAGAAATTAAATTTCTCCCTTCTTAGTTCAGTGTCTCATAATCAACTACTGTTATTTCAATTAAAAGTCAGCCAATAAGACATCTGATCTGTCAGATGTTTTTTGTGGTGACTATATACACAATGATAAATTACTGCAAAAATATGTTACATGATGGTAGGAAAACATTTGTGAATGTGAACAACAATGAAGAAAGGTATCAAACACATGCTGAGCACCCTCTTTATAAGACCTTTCTTTTAAACACAAGTATCTGGAATGCGATAAAGATTATTTCTATTTTATTTTATTTTTAACCTCTTGGTAACTTCTGCATAATATGAAACAAAGTTTTCCTTATAGCTGAAGTGACCTTATAGCTGAAGTGTTACTTTTAACAAAGTAAGCCTTATAATGAGGGTGAAGAGCATTAGAAAAGCCACATCACAAACACACTGTTCATAGCCCATCATGCATTTCAACTTGTTATCAAACTTACCCCTCTTTTGAGGCTTCTGAAAGAAGGAATTCTGGGCTTCCCTGTTTTTATGTCACTCATGCAATAATGCACTGGTTCAATGGAGAATATGGGATACTGGGACCCATTAGGAGTACTGGATGTGTATAAACTAGTAGGGGTTAAGGGTGGGGATTGTGGCTAATGTGGAAATAAAGAAAGCAATAAATAAGCCAAATGTTCAAAGTGATTTTTAAATGAAAATTCTGTCTTACAAAAATAAAATTTCCATCCAACACAGAACAGCTTGTAACGTTCCAGACACATTTACATGATAACTGTATTGGTTTTAAAAGGTTTCTGTCATGAATTAATCTTCAGTTACATGTTGGTGCAGAGAATGAAGGAATATTCAAAAAAGCTTTAGACTCAACACTTCCACAAGATCCTAACCAGATCCCGAAGGTGCCTATCTCTTTTCTTAAAACAGGAAGTTCTGCTTTTCCCCACTTTAGTTACAGCCATTCTGGAAGCTTGTGCACTTCCTACACTTCGATGTACCCTACCAGGTAAGCTAAAATAGAAATATTAGGTACACCTACAGAGAATAACTAAAACAGAAAGTATACTTGATGTCTGTAGTCAAGCTGGACTGACACAATGGCTGCGTGGCATTCTTAATATCATCACGAGAACCTCCTCCACTTTCTTCCTCCCCTTTTTTCGAATTGCTTCTCTCATTTTTTGTCTCTCACACCTCTGCTGCTTTTTCCCAGTTCGATTATTCTGTACTATTTCGTCTGCTGCACAACTCATTCCCTTTCCAAAAGATTTTCATGTCTTTGACAAAAATAAGTAAATGCGTATCTGGAAGTCAAGACCAGCCACAGTTTCAGCTAAATGAAGGCCCAAAGGCTACCATGAATACCCCAATATTTTTATATTAGCTAATTTAAGAATATCTTTTAAAACCTGTAAATAGTATTTGGAATTAAATATGTATCTCCTGTAAGTATTTTGCTCCCAGCTGCTGTTTTGTCGAGCGCCCCTTCATCCTCCCCAAAAACAAGGGAGAAGAGGGACATAATCTTCCATTTCCTCCAGGTCCTTAAGGAAGAGATACATGTAGTATGTATACACATATGTAAATCTGTGATTCCATCCAGGAAACAGTAAGGCTGACTCTCTGAATGCTACATACAAAGCAAACGAACTGGGGAGAAGAAA